GCCCTCCACCTGGCCAGCGACCGCGAGGCCATGTCGCGATTGAAAGAAAGGCCCTCCCTGAGAGCCCGCGAGGACTACGACCAGTTCGTGCGCCAGCGGAGCTTCCAGGAGAGCCTGGGGCAGGGGCCCCGGAGGGACCTGTACGGCCAGTGCCCGAGGACTGTCTCGGACCTGGCTTTGCAGAATGCGTTCGGGGAACGCTGGGGACCGTACTTCACCGAGTACGACTGGTGTTCCACCTGCTCCTCATCCTCCGAGTCTGACAACGAGGGCTACTTCCTAGGAGAACCCATCCCGCAGCCAGCCCGCCTGCGGTATGTCACCAGTGACGAGCTGCTGCACAAATACAGCTCCTACGGCGGCGGCGGCGGCGGCGTCCCCAAATCCTCCTCCACGTTGGGGGGCAGAGGACAGCTGCATAGCAGGAAAAGACAGAAGAGCAAAAACTGTATCATTTCGTAATAGGATGGGGGTCGGAGGGAACGGGGGTAGGGGGGGCGATGGGAACCAAGAATGTACATTCAGAAACTTGCACTGTTTTTGATTTTAAAGCGCTTTGGGGGTGGGGGTGGTTCGTGGGGGGAGAAAAAGGGAGCGTTCTCAGCTGGAGGCAAGGTTACAGACGGACTCAATAGGTAGTCACAGTTCTTAGCATGTTGAATATCATGTGCACCTTTCACGTTGGAAACACAATAGAGTCAATGGAGGCCCTTTCCCATCAGTCATGTGTTGAGTGGCTGCTTACGAGGTGACAAACCCTTTCCTGCTCGATTATTTCCTCTCTGGTACTCTTACTTTTAGGACTCCCTCCCCGACCCCCCCCCTTTTTTTTTTCTTTTTCAGTAAGTAATTTGTTTATTAGCCAAGACCCAAGACTAAGTTATTTACATGTCCATTGTAAATGCATTGTAAATGAGAGTTCTGATAAAATATTTTTGTATTTTGTAATATCAAAGGAATTTCTATATCGTAGGACTCCGTGGGGTCTTTGCATGCTCATCTGGCCTTGTCTTTGAGTAGTATTAAAAGGTGGCCCAGGACCACCACCCCTTTTTTTTTTCTTTTTCCTATACAAATTTGTTATATGTCAGTGAGACCTTTTTTCAAAGGAGTGTATTCAATCTGGCTTTTTGTGGCTGAAAAAAAAAAAAAATTTACCCAAAGTATTTTATGCTCCATTTCATCTTAAGGAGCCATCCTTAAGCCCGCTCCCAACCTTGGTAGGATTTGTTCTCTACAAAGTGATAGTAATTTTTTTTTTCTTAATTGCAAATGTAACTTTTGCCGATTTAATCAACCAGTGTCAGTCAAGTTGCGTGAGAAATGCCATCCCTTACCCGGGAACATTGAAGTTGCTTAATATTGATCTATCCCTCGGGAAAAATTAAAGTGACCGTGAGTGGTGGTGCCGTTGTGTGCTGTCAGCATGACATTGTTCTGAATGTGGCATTATTTTTCTGGTGCTCCTGTTTCCTGGATCGTTGTATCTATCTGCTTTCCTTTCCCAAGGCAGACAGAGCTGCTGCCGTCGCCTGACAACCGGTTGTCCTCAGAGCAAATGAACTTAAACTTAAGCGTTTAGATTCGAGGGATGGGATGGTTCTGAGGGGCTCTGGGAGCCAGGGTGTGTTGGATGTTATGCTGGAGGAAGGAACAAAGCTGTTTGAGGACAGGAAGGTCAAGGTCAAGGTTAAGATAGGAGGGGAAGAAGAAGTAAGTATATGAAAGAAGGACTTCCGCAGAGGAAATGGAGGAACAGTCCCCTTATGCTTGCAGAGAGAAGCTGGTTCCACAAGCGTAGTAACCTGAGTTCCCCAGGAAGGTCCAGCTGCTGAGATTTCAGGGTCATGACTTGGGAAAAAAAAAAAAAAGACTTTGTTGAAAGAGAGATTCCCATTTTGAACTTGGAGGGCTGTGGGTCAGACAGAAAGTGGGCTCAGAAGTAAGTTTGCTTAAAGAAGACATTTCACGGTTGTGCTGTTTATATAGTAAAATAAAACTTCCTGCCTTGCTTCGGTTAAAAATGAAGCACTTTTGCTCTTTCGTCCATTCTTCTCCACTCAGTGGATTGTGGCCATCAAAGTGACCCATTGGAGGACCCACCTTTACTGAGACGTACTGTCCATTTAATACCTGGTGTGTGTGTCTCCGTGGCCATCTGCCATGGTGACGTGAGCGTGGTGGTCTCTTTGCTGTCGTAGTTAACATTTTCTAGTATTTTTAATGGAGAGAATGTGAACTACCGTGGCTTCTCAGACACCATCCCACGTGGGTGTGGGGTCGGGGGGAAGGAAGGCTGTAAAGGGCGTGGTCATGGCACTCCATTCAGGATGGATTAAAAAATAATTTGCTTTTCAGGTATTAATAAGACATTTGTCATTGTCACTGATTTTTTTTAAAAAAGAGCAATGCAAATGTTGGTTGTGGCTGTTTTTCCGCATGCTATCTTCATATCTAAATGCTTCATTAATTATCCGAGCCTCTGGAGAATTAACTCTATTAACGTTTGTATAGTAAGTTTGTAAACTGCTTGGCAAACTGATTAAGAAATAATGTACAATACCACACTACTTAAAGTGGTAGGTTTCTGGTAGAAATTGGGTGAGTCCCATTTGGAGTTTGGAGTTCCTTGATTGATCAGAATAAAAAATGCATTTGTTGGGGGGGGGGAAATAAAAAGAAGAGAGGAAAAGCAGATCGCTTAACTTAGCAAATGTTCAAAAATATATCTGTGCTCTGTGGCCTCAATTCCCAGGAAAGAAATCTCCCAGTAAAAGCGGTAGCTCTTACTTTTCCCAAAAAAAGGCTTTAACCACCATCCGCACAAAGAAGAAGGTGGCCGAGAAACTGACGTCTAATCCGTACCCAAAGGCACCTAGAGGTGTAGCTGTCCACGAGATCATCCAGGGATCCAACCGGCCAGAGCTTAACGTATTATGAGACTCAGGCTTCAAGGCTTCTACTAGCAAGATCACCTCCATAAATTCCACCACTCCAGATTACTTCCCTCGCTAAACACAGCCAGACACCATCAGGAAATGTCAGTGGAGGAAACAGTTCCTCACCACGATGGTGACGTCACACTGGGACTTCCACCCATAAGTGATAACTTCCATGTAACATCCCAGAATCTCACTCCCCAAACTTCTGTGAATTCTTTCCCTGAGCAAGAATTCGGGGTTCTCCTCTGAGTCTGCCACCATAACCATCAGCTCTTACTGGTCACATTCCTCTGGTGGGTGGGGCAGGCCTGTGCTCACCTCTTAGAAGGTCATTTATCTTCTATAGACTGGTTTTCAGAAGAGGAAGCTTTCCCCAGCTCGCTCTCCTCCCTGATGCCTTGGTTGCTTTCTTCCCCTGCCCCCCAATACCTCTCCTAATACTGGGCTTGTCATTTAGTCACTGCCACCTTGGAGGTCAAGCCCTTTCCTACTGCTGCTAAATCCAGTAGCCACAGAACTGGCTCTTTTTCCAGGTCCAAGAAGTGAACAACGTCACTGAGTTGCAGTTCCTTCACGGTCCTGCCAGGGCACACCTGACCTGTGTAACTGTGAAAAGGCTTCTTGCCAACCTGGTGGCTTCGAGCATAGCATTCGGGAGTCTTCCTTCTGTCACAGGGTTCTGGGATCTCTTCCAAGCATGAAGGTGAAGGACGTTAGGGAAATCAGACCACGCTTCCTGATTTTGCACACATCCAAGGGAGAATTCCTGGGGTTGGTTATTGGCGCCATCTCTCCACCTTGCCCCTTTGTTCTCTAACCCTTCCTTCCTAATCCAGCCAGCTAAGGGAAGAAGCAGATGGGTTTTCCCAGGGTGAGCCTAGGAGGGAGCCCTTCCATCTTCGGTACAGTAGCGAGATTGTGATTCTCTTCTCCCACCTGCTGTCTGCTTCTTGGGTTCTGCTGGCCATTGAGTCCGTGATACACACACACACACACACACACACACACACACACACACACACACGACACCTGCTTTGCCTGCCCTGCAACCTGAGCAGATGTAAGCAATGAGTTACTCTATGCTTTCCCAGGAAATGTGGAGACAGCCTCAGCAACCAGCCAGAGGACCCACTGATTAAAACTGATGTCCTTTGATAACAGATATTTATGAACTGAAGTTGGGAGGCTGAGGCAGGAGGATCACAAGTTCAAAACCAACCTCAGATACTTATCTGTCTTTCTGCCCTGGGCTCTCTTGCCATGGGACACCCGACATTGAAGAAGCAGCAGTCAGAACTAATCGGGAGATTGCGTTTCCTCTGTCCGCCAGATTGTGGAGGCTAAAGGAAGCCGGGATCTTAGGCCAAACAAAGACAGGTCTCTCTGGCCTCCTTTTGCAGGCCCATGTCCCTTGTCAATTAGAGCCCTCTGCTCATGTTACAGGGGTCCAGTAAGAGTCCTTCTTATTCTTTTTTCTGATCCCACCTTCTGACAAGAAAGAGAATATTTAAATTCCAAGGATAAGTGCTCTCTCTGTGTATTTCTAACAGAAACCAGATGCTAAGGGCTCGATCCTTCTATGGCCCAGGAAAGTGGAAGGTGGAGCCAGTTATCTGGATATTTCATGCAAGAACAGTTGCTGCTAGCCACTGTCCGGCACCTTCAGGCAGGCTTCAGGATGGAGCCTGCAGACAGGTGTCCTAAGTCCCCCCTGCTGATTTTGATGGCATTTGCAGGTAGCTCCATTTGAGGTGCATTTCTTTAAGCACAAGAGAAGTGGAAGTAGAAAGATCCTTGGCCTCATGTCCAGTGGGTGGGATCCTCTGGGGCCTCAGCAGCCACCAGAGTGACCAGGTATCCAC